ACTTTAGAACCATTAAGCATTTTGAGGTGATATGTTCCAGGTCGTATTACCTTAGTGATGTGATATAGACCTTCCCAGTTAGGCCCCAATACCCCGGCACTTGGTTCTCTTATGCCGAGAAAGACTTCTTTCAAAACCAGGTAGTGAACCCAGAAGTCTCTTCTCCTAACTTTAGAGTTGAAAAATCTTTTTGCCTACTGTTGGTAGGAAGCTATCCTTAACCGAGCCTTGTCGCGGTGTTCTCCAACTAAGTCTAGACTTGCACGTAAGAGTGCTTCATTGTCTGTTTCACTGAAAATTCTCTCCAAAGTGAATCAATCCCTACTTCCACTGGAACCATTGCCTCGCAGCCATATGCTAGCGAGAAGGGTGTTTCCAAAGTAGAGGTCATCCTAATTGAAAGATGGAATGCATGGAGAATGATGCATGTGATACTATAACATGTATATTCTTATTTTGCAAAAAAATTCAATCAAATCGAAAACAAGTAAGGAATAACTTGTTACCTTAAGTCCTTAGCAACCTTAGAGACTTTTAATTTCAAGAGAAATTAAACAAAAGAGTATTCACACTGAAGTAAAAGAATAATTAGGCCAAGAGAGACATTTAGGGTTCTTAGAATTTTTTTGGTCTCTGTCTTAAAATTGGTATATCATTTTCTTTATATATGTAGCCTTGTAAACAATTCAATAATTGTTTTGGACTTCCTTAAACAATTCCATAATTGTTTTGGAGTTGTAAATAATTCCATAATTATTATGAAGTTATTAAACTTCTTTAAATAATAACATTGGATTAACATTTAATCACAATCAACAATTTAACTCTTAAATTATTTATATAACAATTTAACCCTTAAATTGTTCATATGTTTACAAGTACAACCCATTACTAAATTCAATTTAATATAAAAAAATGATTAATTATGAATTGGAATTCCATTTAATTCTAATTAACAATTTAACTCTTAAATTATTCATAATAACTAATATAACCCTCCATTGAATATAATTCAATGATAATAATATAAATAACTTTATTACCCTTGGTAGGTGCTAGCCAACCTTGGATAATCAACTCTCTTTGGCTATTTCTCCATTCTCCTTAGTTTTTATGTGTAACCTCTTAGGTTCATTGTGGCCTAGCCATGAGCTCAATATTATAGTCTATTTCGATATGTTTTGTCATAACTCTTTATGAACAAAACTCCTACCGATTATGGTAGGCATCTAGCAATGCTCCATAACCCCTAAGTCACAATGAAGATATACTCCAATGAACCTTTTTATAATCATACACGTTGTATAATCAAATCATTCCATTGTCTAATCCCAATTAAGAATGGATTCATGGTATGTCAAAATCCTTATCTTAATTTTATATCAAATTGACAAGCAATACATATGGAATGTGTCACCATAAAACAACGTTTTAGGTGATATTTTATATACCCCGACTAAAGATTTCCCTTTTCCAACGTATCTTGACATTTGTCTAGGAACTTGATACTAATTTATACCAAGTCAACGGATCCCATCTTGACTATCACTTGTCCTCACACATAAACAACACATGGCCAAATCGGCTTATTAACACATGACATGATTAGCCTCGTGTTTATACACCATATGAACCATATGCGTTTATGCAGAATCCAACCATGATATCTCAGGTCCAAGGATTAATAATACACTAGTACGATTTTATGATAAATCATTGACTACATTTTAAATGTCCATGTGATTTATCATAAATGGTCATATTCGATAAACAGTTTACTAACCGCTTATCCATGCTAATGCCCTAGTGATATAACTTTTATAATCACTCACACTACTACCATCACATGATATTCTATGAAGGCATTCAACATGCCTACTGTGTAATATTATTGCCCAATTAATATTACCTATGTAGGAAATACTTTGATGATTTTGATCTTCTACAGATTTGTATCATCTGGACATATCACATGTAATACTTATATATAAATGAAGCAATAAACCACATGTGAAATAAGGACATTTTCATCTATTGATATGATAAAAATGTATATACAAAATATATACATTAACATATATATACAAAACATAATACCTTGGAACCAACAACACGATTGGTTCCTAAGGCATACACTAACAAAACTCTTACTTGCACTAGAGTCAATCGTTGTGGTATCTAATACCCATCTTCTCAAGATGATGATCTAATTGCTTCTGTGTCATCACTTTAGTAAGTGGGTCAACTACATTATCCGCTGAAGGTGTTTTCTGCACCAAAATTTCTCCAGCTTCAACAAGTTCTCTCAAAATATGATATTTACGTTGAATATGTTTTGATTTTTGGTGTGTTCTTGGTTCCTTTGCTTGTGCAATAGCACCATTATTGTCGCAAAACAAGGTTATCAGATGACTTATGACCAGTATTCGCTGGTCCCTTAGAGCCTTTTGGCCCGTTATCAGCTACCTACTTCCCCTTATCTTTATGCACTATAGTGAGCACGGCATAGGCTTTTGCCCGTTTTCGTGCCTTAGCGTGACTACAAGCATCTTCGACGGTAGCCCTGCTTTATCAGAATTGGGCGGTATGCCCTGATCCAAATGATCTAGCCTTCGGCTATCCGTTTAGAGAGTACTGTTGAACCTTTCTAGGAAATTCATCACAGTTAGGTCAAGCTATGAGCTCAAAGGAATATTCGCCACTGTACCCTGCGGAATCGGAGGTACTTCAGGAGAAGTATCATCCTGTACCAAGGGGATCTCCTTGTTGTTGGTGCTAGCTTGCTAGGCTTCAAGAGCACGAGCCATTTGTTCATGAATAGAACTGGTTGATCAGAGATTCCTGATGAAGAGCGGATACTAAATCAAGCCCTCCTTTTAGCGCCAAAAAATCACCAACGACTCGCACGTGCAAAGTGCTAAGCTGTTCTTAGAAATTACACATGAATGATTGTAGATATTCTAATGCAAAGACTGAATAATAAATGAAAGACGATTTTTAAAGTGGTTCGGATGCTTAACGCAAGTCCCACGTCTACTGTTCTTTTATATATGAGAGATTACAAGAGGTCGCATATAGCGAACAACGAGCAGAGGTACAATAACTGATTATTCAGATAGAATATCAAGTCAGTCTCTTTCTCGTAGGTTATCTTTGCCCTGAGAATATAGATTACAATCAAAATGTGAGTTTTTTTGTCTCAGAATCCCGAAAATGAGAGGGGGAGTCCCCTATTTGTAGTAGAAGAATTTAAGATAATGATTACAAATCTGCAAATGGGTAGGTGCCGGGAAAGCCCTTCCTTACCTCCTATTGGCTGATAACTTAAGATATATCCTCAAATTACCTAGGGCTTGGACAAGTGTGTGACTCCCATTCACTCATAAACAAAACCTGAATCTGACAAATTGGTAACAACCGTATTCTTTCTGTCTTAGGGTGACGTGATAGCTCTTGGACGGCGCAACGTCTTCCTGAACTCTGATTGGAGCTAGCTGATGTAAGCTTACATCAGCCTTGATTTTTTAGGCATAATATTCTTTAACCCATTTTTTCATGTATTTTGAATGAATAATTTTCAACTGCCATTAACATAAGCTACAACGATAGTGTTTCCCCAATTCCCATGCGTTTATTTATTTATTTTTGTTTGCTACTAATTACATCTATTGCATACTTTAATTTTTTATTTTATTTTATCTACTAATCATTAAAAAAAAAAAAAAAAAAATTTTGTATATTGATCTAGCTAGTTTTAATTACGAGTATCCCATTTTCAAAACAATAAAATATTGGAGGAAACTATATAATTACTAACAAATAGAAAAAACTTAACTTTATTGTTTTATTGAATTTAAATATTTAAAAGTTTAGCTAATAATATTATTTATATTAAATAGAATTTATTATTTTTATGATTAAAAAATAATTAGTTAATGAGAGTATTAGACTTGTACTATTATTCTCCATTTTGGTCATTTGGCTGATATTCTTTTGTGTCTTATTATCTTATGTTTTTTCGGTACTTTTCACGGGTTTCATAAAAAAGTAAAGGTTAGTTTATTTCACCCTGTTTGCCTTCACTCACCCATGATGAGGCAATTGATAACATAAACCAATTTCATCAAGTTTGATATTGAAATGATGCAATAATCAATAAAGAAGGAAAAGAGAGGTCACAGAAACAGAAAGAAGCATAAGTGGAGCTTTAAGATCCATGATGCTTAATGTCATACGCTTGAGTCAATTTCATTGAGTTGTTGTAGGAAATGTTTTTAACCAATGTTTTGTGTTGTGTGGTGTGTGTATATATATATATTTCAACCCTTTTGGTTTGCCTCAAAAAAAAAAAAAAAAAAAAAAAAAAAAAAAAAATCATAATTATAGATAAATAGTCGTGATGATTGGAGAGATTTAGTTAAGAGTGATGTTATTTGTCCCCCACATTTGATCCCACTTATTGAATAAACCCCATTAAAACTATCTACTTAGCTTTACGTGAAACTGACGATATCAAATCCAAGACTCCGTGATTTTCTCACAATTGTCCAACAAAGTTTACCTAAGTCAACAATATTAGATATTTTGTCAATCTAGATATAAGTGGTCAAAATTAATTGAAGTTACCCTTTCTAATATTAGATATTCTTTCATTTTTACTTGGAGGATAGAAGAAAAAGAATATAGAATGCTTTGTAATTATAGATTGTAATTCTTTGACAACATTGAAAGTGGTGTGCTACCTTTGTCTCAAAATGGAATTCAGATTTATAATTGTGGGAAATTAAAATCAGGGTTGCCCAAATCTCATATCCATTCTAGACCTAGGCATCCTCGAAGATTTATTAATTCGGAGATGTTCAAATCTCAAATCCCTACAAAGCTTGCATCCTCACTTTTGTATTTACGGATTAAAGATTGTCCATTGTTATGAAAACAATAGAAAAGGGGTAAAAGAAAATATTTTGAAGATTTATTTAACTTGAGTATAATACCTTGTATCTGTATTTCAAATCCAATTTTTCTTATTTGAAAAATAACTGAAAATGTCCACCCACCCAGTGTTTAATAAAAGTCCTAATTGAGCATAACTCTGTTTTGGAATAAATACAACGCATATTGGAGCAGAGTGATAACATAACATAGAAGAACAAAAATGCATAATGAATACTTCACCTTCACTCATACTATCTAGGATATAGCTCGGTAATTGAAACCTCATTTTGTGATAATGGGACTCCTTCACTTCGGTGTCGATTTAAGTTACTTGACCCAGAACGCTCTAAAGATGATGATGTGGTCACTGGTTTTGATGAATCATGCATATATTATTTTACACTTACATAGGTTAGAAGGTCGTCTGATTCGTCTTTGCTTCCAAAACCACTTCTCTTCTGACCACTTACAATTTCTAAAAATAGAACACCAAAGCTATAGATATCAGACTTAACTGAGAACCGTCCATACTTTACATACTCTGAAGCCATATACCCACTGCATATAATCATCAAGAAAACCAGTTTTGTTTCTCATTATTAAAATGATAGTGCTTTTCACTTTCCTCTTAGAATATGGAGACATAATTTTTTTTTTTTAATTGTTCTTATTAACCTATATATAGCATTTTGTCATAACACTTTTGAACATGAATTTCTTCCATATGTAAATAATTAAGCTTTATTTGTACTTACAAGGTTCCCACGACTTGATTTGTATCACTTTGGCTTTCATCTACTTCAAACAATTTTGTCATCCCAAAATCGGAAATTTTCGGATTCATGTCTGAATCTAACAAAATGTTACTTGCTTTGAGATCACGGTGAATAATTCGAAGTCTAGAGTCTTCATGGACATAGAGTAGCCCTCGAGAAATGCCCCCTATGATCTTGTAACGCCTTTCCCATTCCATATATTCACGCTTGATTGGATCTACAATTTGCAACATTATAGGATTTGAAATTGAAAACTAGAGAACTTAGCAAAAGCAGGTACACCAAGCTTGAATAACTAGTTCAAGCTTTCATCATAATCATATGTGCATAGGTATATTCATCCAACATCAGTAAATTACCAAGGGTCCATTTGTTTCAATATTTTCCCTTGTCATTTCCAAAATATACATTTGTTTTCCTATTCTGAAAATAATATTATATTTTATTCAATATAGTTTAAATCCCATAAGTTTGTTAATTTAACTAAACACCCCCCAAAAAAAAGTTTAGAAATTGACAAAAACACCCCACCACCCACATTTGCCTGATTCTGGCCACCACCGCTGGAAGGTGGCCGGAATCTAGTATAATGGCACACTATCGGTTGGATCTAGCCTGTAGTACGCTGATATAGCTTTTTCTGGCTAGATCTACCGTGGATCTGGCTAGAAAAGACCAGATCTACTACCAAAGATCTAGCCGTTGACGGCTAGATCTTTGGCCGTAACTAGTCATCAACGATGGCCATATCTTTGGCTGTCGTTGACGACCAAACACGGCCAGATCTAGCCGTTGATCTGACCTTTTCGGTCAGATCCACGATGGATCTCGTTGGAAAAGGTCATCTCGGTGCACGACATATCCAGTCGGTCGTGTGCCGATACGGCGACTCCAGCAACCCTCCGGTGGTGGTGGCCAACTATCGGTATTTAATGGGTGGATGGGGTGTTTTTGTAATTTTTAATGTTTTTATTATAGGGGTGTTTAGTAAATTAACAAACCTAGGGGGTGTTTTTGGTTATCTTTGTTAGGCATTCTTCCTAAATGAGATCACAAAGTAGAATCATACCGAATATGAACTGATCGAGACTTGAATTAGGCACAAATTCGTAGACGAGAATCCTTTCTTTTCCTTCCAAGCAAAAGCCCAGGAGCCTAACCAAATTTCTGTGCTGAAGTTTGGCAACTAGTAGAACCTCGTTCTTAAATTCTACTTCTCCTTGTTTAGAATTCTTAGACAGTCTCTTGACAGCTACTTGTTGTCCATTGGAAAGCATGCCCTGGCATATCAAGAAAATTTGAAAGCTTGTCTTCAAAGGTTTGAATTTAACACCTTCTTACATTGAAATTTCTTACCTTGTATACCACACCAAATCCACCTTGTCCAAGCTTATTATCATCAGAGAAGTTATCTGTGGCAATCTGGATGGTGCCAAAGTCGAACTGCAAGGACTCTGTATCTTTTATTTCTTCCACATCTCCATGAGATCAAGTAGTAAGCAACAACAAAACAACAATAGTTTAGTCTTATTCATGAGCTACTTCTCTTGTGCTTTTCTAAAATGGGTAAATTTTTACTTACTAAAACACCTCATTTGAAATCAGAATTCAGGAGTTATCCCCACCAGTTTTTCAAAATGGAAATCTATATTACTCAAGTTCAAGAAAAAAAACTTCCATTAAATCAGAACAGAGCCTAAGTCTTCTGAATAAGTAGAACAGAAACACCTAAGTCTTCTGAATAAGTAGAACAGAAACAAAACTAACTTACTTTCATTTTTCTCCTTCCGTTTCCTCCATCGTAAAAGGATGATGATGCCTATGATTAGTATCACAGATGTAACGACCGAAACAACCACTATAATGATGATAATATAATTATTCTTTCCTGCAGCATCCAAGAACTTTGTTCAGATTAAAACTTGTTGCAAAGTTAGATATCTCTATCTACTGAAGACAGTGAAGGAACTTTATTGTAAAGGTAACTCGTATCTATAGTGATTACCTTTCTGAGTTGTGGTATTGGTTGATGGTGTAGGAGGGGAGACTGGAGGTCCTGCAATTGAAGACTTGTAGAATTCGTTTGTCTCGTATCTAAAACTACAGCTTGGGGTAATTACTCTTCCACCTTGCCTTGTATCACAACAATTTGGCAAAAGTTTATTAGCATCAATGAGGCACTCATTGCATTTACTTTCGGTTAAGTCAGGAGTACACTGAACAAGTCCATATAATGTTACAATAGTTGAAACAGCTTCTTCTCCAGCAGCATACTTGTTAGAACCCCCAGCTGTAGCCTGACTTATTAGCCTCTGCAACAAGCTCTGCCGTGTCTGATTGAACTCTTCCACATTTTCTGTAATGTTACATAGTGAATACACAAAAAAATAAGGAGCGTTTTCCATTACGCCTATCATGTCATAGTATGCATAACGTAACATACAATTGGTATAGTTGTAATCATCATATCCGCCGATCGCCATCCTAAAGTTGGGACAGAGATATGCCAGGTTCCGAGTCGCGACAGTTACGGAATCGCGACAAGTGTCCGGATCCATGTCTGGTCTGCAGATTGCACTTCCATAAACTTTGTCAGGATTTTTCCCATAAGAGGAATGGTAAAATCCATTGTATATGGGGGTAGTGTTGGTGAGGGAATTTAGAAGGTGATTGAGGTTTGCCTTGTAAGTACTATTGGTGGTATAATTACCATTGTTGACATAACAGTCATGGTACAGAGATTGTAGCTCATCGGCAACGGTGAGATCAAAATAGTAAATGAAATATAGAGAAAGAAAGAAACGCAGTCTAGAGGAAGCCATAATTTTAATTTCTGACCTGTGCTCAACTGGTTTGGTGCATTGTATGAATTCATTACAGACCGATTGAACACGAATGCTGACATGACACGATTGACGTCTTGTGAAGTTCCTATCTAAAAACACGTTATCATGAAAAATCAAAGAGAAATATAATTTTATGAGATAAAGAAAATTATACTTTATTTAATATTTGTTTGAGCTATTTGTCATGACTAGTGTCACTGTCACCTAGTATTAAGATATAGACAGAACGCATCCAACCTCCAATTTTGACCCAACATTATAGAGAAAAAAGAGATAATACCGAAATGTAATTCCACAAACTTGTTGAAGACAAAAGGAAGTGAAGGCGTAAATAGTTTTTATATATATTTATACATATTTGTTTTTGGATTAAACTATTGTAACACAAATTTTTTATCCAGATTTGTAATAAAAATTTGTGATCATTGATTTATGATAATTCAATGGCTTAAAAATTGCTTAATTGGAATTAAGAAATAATTAACCTCAACTTCTTATCTAAATCCGTTGGATTATATTAAATCAAAGACTATAAATTTATGTTCCACCCTTCAACTAATCCCTCGGACCTTTGAAGTTGACGATCGGATAAGTCTCTTAGTGATCACCTTTATTAGCGTTAATAGGGATTTGAACTCAAGAACTCATATAATTTTTTTTGCTTTTTTACTATCAAACCAGCTGATGGTGGTTTATATTTAAGTTCTCAAACATTTAGGGTGCATATTGAAGCAATAAGTCGTAATTAAGTTATATAATAATTAATGTAAATGTAATTAGGGGCCATTAATAATCATAATTAACATTACTTAATTATTGATTATTGCTGCTTATAATTCGTACACTAATCCTACTGTACAAATCAAGCAAACAATCTGAGATTCAAGTTAATTAAACGCCATTTTCCACATTATAATCAAGTCAGCACTTAAGTATCAATTGCATATAAATTAAAGAAAAAAATTGAAATATATTTTATCCAGAAGAACTAGTTTCTGGGAGCCGATTTTGACTAATTCAGTTGTTTCATTATCAATCAAATTTCCACTGATTAGAAGATAAAAGTTTGGTGAATATTAGTCGCGATGATAAAACGACAAGGGTATGTTTGACTAGTACATGAAAATTAAATAAATGAAAAAAATATATCGACTATGTTTGGTTTATGTTAGGGCCAAAAATTGTCCTTAGCCCGAATAGGAAAACGGGCTCGACATTGAAGAAGAAGCCAAGCCCAATCCTGATATGACCCAACCAAATTAGGCCCATTCGGTACAAGATATAGCCAGCCCAAACCACGTGGGCACGAGCCTCCTAATCCTAGTCCATTTCCTAGGTCCATGGGCGAATCCAGAGCCCACAACCCCCTTAGAATACTTTCCTACTCCTGATCAATCTCCCATTCAAGGTCACCTTCCTATTCCTGATCACTTTCCTACTCGGAGTTACTCTCCTAATCAGAATCACCTTCCTATCCGGACACTGGTAAGACAGCTTACCACAGCCCTAATTCTTCTAGGGTTTGCATCAGAGTCATACTAGGACTCCTACTTCTACCAGGATTGGGAGACCAGACGACCACTATATAAACAGAGGCCAGCCCTCTCACAAGGGGGAGAGGACATTACACCTTCACACTGAACCTCTCTCAGCCTTGCTGACTTGAGCGTCGGAGTGCCTACGGCAAACACCACCCCGGTGTTTCCCGTTCGCTTCACGCGTGTGTTTCTCTATGTGTGCAGGTGCAGCGGATCGCTAGTGGCCTTAGCCTCACGGGATCAGACCCCCCTTCCGTACAGGTAGATTTTTACGTCTACAGTTTGGCGCCCACCGTGGGGCTCTAGCAATCATTCGGCTCGACGAACCTTGCTACGTGGAGGAACATTCCATGGCTGACAACTCCAATAATGCTAACCCTGGCCTCGAGGCCAAACTGGAAGCTCTAACTACTCTCATGCAACAAAACTTGGATAAGGTGGCGGCATTGGAAGCTGAGAACAATGCGATCCGGATAGAAAACGCATCTGTCAGGTCAGAAAACCAATCCCTCAAGGAGAAGGTAAGTCAATTATATGACCTAGAGTTCTTTCCCGGCCAAACACCCCTCAATCGGTTCCGCACCCCTATTCCGCCCATGCAACCTCTGCTTACGCCGAAGCCCCGACCCTCGGCCTCTGGCAAAAGGCCGCGTCCCTTAAACCTGTCTGCGGTCGACAATTCTGTCCTAATCCATGGAGATAAAGTTATGCCTGAAGAGCACCAATCAGTCGATTCATCCCAACATCAAGACCAAGACGATCCGGTGGCCGAGAGCCCTCATCCACAAGACCAGCTCAATCTAACCATCCCAACACATACTCCATTCGGCCCGGCTCATCCCCGTGGGATGAACGGCCAAACAAAACCAACAGCACCTGAGCCCATCCATCCTAACCAACCGAATGACTATCAGAGGACTCCCTTAACCATCCATGTAGGGCGAAACACCAGAACAGTGACCCTGGGAGTCATCCAAACGGAAGGAATGACCGAAGACTTATGCTCCCAAGGAACGCACAAAGGGACTCGTCAGCCTACCCCAAGAGGGATGACCCAACGGAATGTACCAAAGATAAGTGCAAAGGCCGACCCGGTCACACGGGATAACCTAGTGGCATCCCCCTCTCCTATGGAACAGGTGTTAGCCAAGAGATTGGCCGATGTGGAAGCAGTGATGTGACGCATTCCAGGAATGCCGGTCCTAACCAAGAAGAGCAGGCCCCATTGTTACGCGGATTCACCCTTCGTGGACGAGATCGCCCTGGCCGACCTGCCACAGAAGTTCACTATCCCCAACATGAAAATGTACGATGGCACAACCGATCTGGACGATCACATAGCCTCGTACAAACAACGGATGTTCACTGTCTCGATACCGCGACCGCTTAGGGAAGCCTGCATGTGCAAAAGTTTTGATTCAAGCTTATCCGGCCCAGCACTACAATGGTACACGAACCTCCCGAATGGATCCATCGATTCGTTCGCTCAACTCACCGACACGTTTGTGGAGCAGTTCGCCAGCAGCAAGAAACTCGAGAAGCTGTCAGCCGACTTGTACAGGGTATACCAGAGAAGGGGCGAGCCATTGAGAGAATATATCAGCAAATTCAACAAAGAGAAGATTTCCATCCCTTCCTATAACCTTGAGACAGCCGTAGACGCCTTCAAAAAAGGTCTCCTCCCGGATGGTGAACTATACAAAGAACTAACGAAGCTAGGTTGCACCACGATGGAAGACGCCTTGGCTAGAACAACAATTCAAATAAGGTGGGAGGAAGATGAGATGAATCAGACAATTCACGCCAGGTATGACTGAATGCAGAATGACAGGAGGCCAGAGCTCAGATCGATTGTAGGCCCTACAAGGTCACCAAAGAAGCAGGGAAGGGCGCCTACAAACTCCAGACCCCCGATGACAAAGACATCAACAACAGTTGGAATGTCGTTCACCTCAAACGCTACTACTTCTAGGTGAACCTTGTCTTTTTTTTCTGACCTGTGCTCAACTGGTTTGGTGCATTGTATGAATTCATTACAGACCGATTGAACACGAATGCTGACATGACACGATGACGTCTTGTGAAGTTCCTATCTAAAACACGTTATCATGAAAAACAGAGAAATATAATTTTATGAGATAAAGAAAATTATACTTTATTTAATATTTGTTTGAGCTATTTGTCATGACTAGTGTCACTGTCACCTAGTATTAAGATATAGACAGAACCGCATCCAACCTCCAATTTTGACCAACATTATAGAGAAAAAAGAGATAATCGAAATGTATTCCACAACTTGTTGAAGACAAAAGGAAGTGAAGGCGTAAATAGTTTTTATATTATTTATACATATTTGTTTTTGGATTAACTATTGTAACAAATTTTTATCCAGATTTGTAATAAAAATTTGTGATCATTGATTTATGATAATCAATGGCTTAAAAATTGCTTAATTGGATTAAGAAATAATTACCCTCAACTTCTTATCTAAATCCGTTGGATTATATTAAATCAAAGACTATAAATATGTTCCACCCTTCAACTAATCCCTCACCTTTGAAGTTGACGATCGGATAAGTCTCTTAGTGATCACCTTTATAGCGTTAATAGGGATTTGAACTCAAGAACTCATATATTTTTTTTTTTTTGCTTTTTTACTATCAAACCAGCTGATGGTGGTTTATATTTAAGTTCTCAAACATTTAGGGTGCATATTGAAGCAATAGTCGTAATTAAGTTATATAAATTAATGTAAATGTAATTAGGGGCCATTAAATCAAATTAACATTACTTAATTATTGATTATTGCTGCTTTAATCGTACACTAACCTACTGTACAAATCAAGCAAAACATCTGAATTCAGTAATTAAACGCCATTTTCCACATTATAATCAAGTCAGCACTTAAGTATCAATTGCATATAATTAAAGAAAAAATTGAAATATATTTTATCCAGAAGAACATTTTCGGGAGCCGATTTTGACTAATTCAGTTGTTTCATTATCAATCAAATTTCCACTGATTAGAAGATAAAAGTTTGTGAATATTAGTCCCGATGATAAACGACAAGGGTCTGTAAATTCTACTTCTCCTTGTTTAGAATTCTTAGACAGTCTCTTGACAGCTACTTGTTGTCCATTGGAAAGCATGCCCTGGCATATCAAGAAAATGTGAAAGCTTGTCTTCAAAGTTTTTCTCCTTCAAGACGATCTAAGGTTTGAATTTAACACCTTGTTACATTGAAATTTCTTACCTTGTATACCACACCACATCCACCTTGTCCAACCTTATTATCATCTAAGAAGTTATCTGTGGCCATCCAGATGGTGCCAAAGTCGAACTGCAAGGACTCTATATCTTCTATTTCTTCCATATCTCCATGAGATCAAGTAATAAGCAACAACAAAACAACAATAGTTTAGTCTTAGAATGAGGCGAATGCTAACTCATCATACTTTTCATGAGCTACTTCTATTGTGCTCTTCTACTAGTAAATTTTTACTTACTAAAACATCTTAATTGAAATCAAAATTCAGGAGTTAACCCCACCAGCTTTTCAGAGGTGGAAATATGTATTACTCAAGTTCAAGGAAAAAACTTCCATTAAATCAGAACAGAGCCTAAGTCTTCTGAATAAGCAGAACAAAAACAAAATTAGCTTTCTTTCATTTTTCTCCTTCCTTTTCCTCCATCTTAAAAAGATGATGATGCCTATGGTTAGTATCACAAATCTACCGACCGAAACAACCGCAATAATGATGATAATAATATTCTTCTTTCCTGCAGCATCCAAGAACTTTGTTCAGATTAAAACTTGTTGCAAAGTTAGACAACTCTATCTACTGAAGACAGTGAAGTAACTTTATTGAAATTTTGGAACCTTACAAATTGTTTAAACATGTATCTTGATAACTTGTTCACAAAATTTTAAATTGTAAAGGTAACTCGTATCTATAGACCTTTCTGAGTTGTGGGACTGGTTGACGGTGTAGGAGAGGAGACTGGAGGTCCTGCAATTGAAGACTTGTAGAATTCGTTTGTCTCGTATCTAAAACTACAGCTTGGGGTAATTACTCTTCCCCCTTGCCTTGTATCACAACAATTTTGCATGAATTTGATAGTATCAATGAGGCACTCATTGCATTTACTTTCGGTTAAGTCAGGAGTACACTGAACAAGTCCATATAATGTTACAGTATCTGAAACAGCTTCTTTTCCAGCAGCATACTTGTTAGAACCCCCAGCTGCAGCCTCACTGCCGTGTCCACATTTTCTGTAATGTTACTTAGTGAATACACAAAAAAAATAAGGAGCATTTTCCATTACGCCTATTATGTCATAGCTTGCATAACGTAACATACAATTAGTATAGTGTCTATCATCATATCCGTCGATCGCCATGCTAAAGTTGGGACAGAGAGATGTCAGGTTCCGAGTCGCGACAACTATCCGGATCCATGTCTGGTCTGCAGATTGCACTTCCATAAACTTTGTCGGGATTTTCCCCATAAGAGGAATGGTAAAATCCATTGGCTATGGGGGTAGTATTGGAGAGGGAATTTAGAAGGTGATTGAGGTTTACATGGTAAGTACTATTGGTGGTATAATTACCATTGTTGACATAACAGTCATGGTGCAAAGATTCTAGCTCATCAGCAATGGTGAGATCAAAATAGTAAATAAAATATAGAGAAAGAAAGAAACACAGTCTAGAAGAAGCCATAATTTTAATTTTTGAACCCATGCTTAACAGGACTAGTGCAGAGAGTTTTGTCGTAAGGACTAATGTACTCTCATATAGTATTATTGATTATGATATAAACAGAACACATCCAACCTCCAATTTTGACCCAAAATTATTAAAATAAAAAAATAAAAGAGAAAAAAGAGATAATTTCGAAATGTAATTCCACAGACTTGTTGGAAACTAAGAAAGTGAAGACCTACATAGTTTTATATATATTTATTTTTGGGTTAAGCTATTATTATTTATTACACAGATTTGTGATACAAATTTATGACCATTGATTCATGATAATCTAGTGGTTTAAAAATTGTTAGTTGGGATTAAAAAATGACTAACTCTAACTTCTTATTTAAATCCGTTGGATTATATTGAATCAAAGGCTATAAATTTTGGCTCCAAATCTAGGTCAAAATTTTGTATTATTGCAATTATAACTTAAGGTAGTGGCATTTTAATGGTCAAAACAAGTCAAATTTCTCATAGAGAGGATGAAACGTGGATAGTTTTCAATACCAAGGATACTAATTTTGATTCGCTAAACTTAGGGTGAGAAAATATATTTCGACCTTTGTTAAATGATTGAAACCGTTTTGGGTAAGCTATAAGCCCATGTCTGTTTAACACAAATGAAAAAAAGGGTTCCTCTGGTTTGATTATATATAATGCAAAAATTTAGGGTGCATATTAAAGCACACCCATGCCATATTTGGAGCCATACATTTAATTATTCAAACATTCAGGGTGCAATAAATCGTAATTAAGATATGTAATAATTAATGTAAATATAATTAGGGGCCATTAATAATCATAATTAACACTACTTATTATTAATTACTGTTGCTTATAATTCGTACACTGATCTTACTGATACAAATCAATCTAACGATCTGTTCAAGTCAATTCAATTCCATTTTCCACATTCTAATTAAGTCAGCACTTACGTATTAATTGCATACAAATTAAAAAAAAAATTGAATTGCAATGTATTTTATCCAGAAGAAGTAATTTCCGGGAGCCGATTTTGACTAACTCAATTGTTCATTATCAATCAAATTTCCACATTGGTTAGGAGATAAAAGTCTGGTCAATATTAGTCACGATGTTAGTCCAAACTCCAAACGAAATTTGGTGACCCAACAAGAGAAATCAACCAAGTCCAAGTCTTTTCCAGCAATAATCCAGGTCAAACCAGACTAGACAGTGATAGAAATTTTCTTTATTTTTGAGGAATTTCCCGCGATCCCCGTTTAATAAAATCGGAGGAAGGGCCTAGGATAGGGCTGCCTGATGTTTTGGGGTTGTCGTCCCTATATATTAGTGAAAATGTCAGCTGTGAATAATAAATATTGCTATATTATGTTTGGTATAAAAGTTAACTGAACAAAATTACTTTACATAATTAACATATTCAAATTTGACTAATAGCCAACTTTAAATAACCACCAGCCTTATGATCAGACGATAAGACTTTAATTATCTTTGTGTTCGAGTCACACAAAATGATCATTTATCACATTTGTGATTTCTTTGATCTATTGAGTTTGTAAAGTGTTTAATTGATGATAGAGATTAGTTGAGATGTACGTAAGTTGGCTTGGACATTCCGTTTCTCAAAAAAAAAAAAAAAAAAAAAATAATGTTGTTGTAATACATAATTCTAAAAAGTGAAAATCTTTGTTAGTTGCAGATGCCTACTTTCCTCTAATTAGTTGTAGCACGCTGAAAAGTATTGCAAAGTTGTGGCAAATTAAATCCTTTCTGTGACATTATATATCCCATCGTAAAAGACATTTTCTTTGTAGTGCCATATAAAATAGTTTAATTAGAAGGCATTCAAGTTCTTTTTAGAAATCATCAAAATTTATGTTATGATTATTATTTTATTTAAAAAAAAAAAAAAAAAAACCTATCACGCATGAGAGATGATGCTTGAATTTGAGGTCAACTGCGTCAGTATTCTACAAGCATAGAGGTGGAACCAAAGCCGGGCTGCAGCCCCTGTCAAAATTTTCTTAATTTTTTTTGGAATATATAGGATGAGTTTTGGGGAAACAAAGAAAATCAATTGTTGTAGGTTATATTATAAAAACTTGGTTTAAATATTGGGATTTGTATTTGTGCTAATTCTTTCAACAAAACTAAAGATGAAAGGTGAATTCTACAAGTTGCGTAATTGTCTATATTGAAAGAAAATTTGCTTAGAATATTGATTTGGATTCAATGATTGATTAGTTTCACTCTTTAAAGCATTGTAAAACACAACTTCAATTTACCCTGCATTTTCCTTTACTTTTTTATCATATAATTAGAGATTTTTTAGATAATAAAACAAATTTCAAAGGATTAAGGCTCATTATGTCCCCATTAGTGTATAGTTTTTTCCTATTAATAATTTTTTTCATATATTATTAAGTATTATTTTGAATAAAATTCCTGGTTTCGCCCTTGTTCTAGCATATGCATGACTCATGATACTCAGCTATTTATTTTTTCGAATATAATTAATAAACGGATTGGCACTTCATATTCAAATATAATAAAGAAAAGTTGTTTTATATGTAAATTGTAATGACTGGAAGGATTTTTGTTCTCTTCATAAAAAATATTGCACTACATCAATATTTCATCTCATTTAAGTAAAACACAACGTTTTGCATAAATGGTGAATGACACTGATACAGCTTTGTTTACTCTAAAAAAATGCCGAAGTAGAAGACAAATATTGCAAAATCAACAATGGAACTGCAATGTGGACAACAGTTTGAGACAGGTTACTCTCTCTTCCTGCGAATACTATAAATACAATCTGATTAGCAGAGTAACGCAATATTGAGTTCAAACAACTTTCTATTAGATAGATGAATGCATAAAAAAATGTTTGTGGCTTCCTCAAATCTCTGTTTGCAATTAAACAAAATCTTTTGTTGTCATTCTGTAAAGAGTATTTTTCGCAGGGCGTATTCATGCAGAACAAGTAAACAGTTATAAAGATCGATTTTAAATATAGAGCAAGGTAGACCTCATTTTTGTGATGCATCAAGCATGAAATATACCTCTCTGTGTTGCAGAATTAGTTGGCGACGGAGGTGGAGGTGGAGATTGCGTGGGTTCTTCCGATGCTGCCGGGTGACTTGCTGGTGATGATGATGGTGTCGGTGAAGACGATGATGGTGATTGTGGTGATGGTGTTGGTGAAGACGATGATGGTGATTGTGGTGATGGTGTTGGTGAAGATGATGATGTTGAGGGTGAGGGTGAGGGTGTTGCCGCATAAACTGTAGAGTCATAGAAAATACCTTTCTCGTACCTAAAATTACAACTAGGTGCAATGACTCTCCCTCCTTGTCTTCCATCACAACATTGCGGAATCAATGAAGTCGCATTATTTAGGCAGTCAACACATTCCTGCTCAGACAAGTCGGGAGTACACTGCATAAGTGCATATATGGACTGAGAGCTTGGCGTAGTTGAATTTCCTGTTGCAAACTTACGAAGAGGACCACCAGAGGCTGCTTTTTTTGTCAAGTTATTTAACAACTTTCCCAGGACTTCACGGAATTGACTCACTTCCGACACATTATTCACATTATACATCCAAGCATAAGGCGTATATTCCATATTACCAAACAAGGAACGATTTGAGTACCTTAACATACAATCGTCGTACCATACAACGGCTTCTTTCTGGTTGGGACATCTTTTTGTGAGCTGAAGAGATGAATTTTTGATACAACTATGGCAGATATCCGGCTTAACATCTCCTCTAAAAAGTGCCATTGCGTTAACTTTGTCAGTATTTCGGCCATACGAGGCGTTGTAGAAGCCATAGTCGATTTCATTGTTAGAAGTGAGAGAGGAGAGGAGGCGATTGAGGTTTGCCTGGTAACTACTATTTGCGGTGAAGTTTCCCTTGTCATTTAAACAGACGTTCGACAGCAGTTCATTCTGGGCAATGGTGAGAGAAAAAAGGTATATAACAATGGAACACGAGATGAAAAGCAATTTTGGAGAAGCCATTGCTGTAGATAGTATCACTCACCTTACTTTTGTGGCCTTTAAATACCAAACTTAATGACTGATTGTTGTTTGAAATGGTCAATTACTCTGGTGTACCAGAAGCAATTTAAGTGGTCAGTGCAATGTTTGCTTTCATGTCACGTGAACTGTATTCTTCCAATCTTCGATGTTTGGGCCCATTTTACTGAGACTCTTACAGTCACAGCTTAAGATGATTTTACACGTCAATTTGATTCAATAAGCGATTGTAACAAGGAATTTTAATTGTTTAAGACAAACTTCAAGACTACACTAAGATCTTTGGAAACCTTTCAATCTAACATTTGGATTTTTCTCTGAATTTAAATTTGTTTTAGCCATTTTGAAAATTTTTATAATATATTTCAATACTACAGGATCAAAATTTTTGTGCATTATATATCTGTTATTCACAAGCGTTCATGAATATATGGTACTACTACAGCCATTTACTTCTAATTTTTAGTATTCCTTTAATTATGGGTTGACTGGTCTTTGCCCAAAGTGACCACTCAATTTCTAAACTCTTACCTAACATTACCTTGTTTGATTAGAAGACTTTCACTATATATTTAAAACATCTGGAAAAAACTTTAATTGCAAAGACAGTGAAGAACGGAGCAAGAAGACCTAGACTAAGTAATAACAATGAAAAGATAATGCACAAGTATGACCATGTTTTGGGTTCAAAATACTAATTTCCAGCTTGAGAAAGTCTTCTATAATCATGGTTCTTAGCTTTTCACCAGGATTGACGTTAGAACAAAGGAAACTTTTAAAAACCATAACCGTAAGATCTTCTCTTTTATTTTTTCACCATTATTTATCTTTATTTTTAAATATGTGAAGCTCTGTCCATTAAGATCATGAAATCTCTACCTTTGCTAACTAGATTTTCATCAAAGACATAACTTGAATTTAAAATGAATAAGAAGTAATTACAATCTTATTATTTTGGATTGCTTTTGTTAGGTTTAGAGCAAAACAGAAGAAAAAGACGATGAAGAGAAGAGAAAGAGGAGTAAACTGAATATGTTTCTTTTCTGTATTTTTCACAAAATAAGTACAGTTTACAATGAGGCTTTTATAAGCTGCAGTAAGCTTATTGTTGAGTTGAAAGATAGCCAACATTTACCGGCAGTAACAACTGCTTTAACAAACTTAACAGAGTCTTAAACAGACTCTTAACTTCTTTACTAATATCTTCCCTCAAACTAAACTGGGTAAGACTCTTTGCTTCTTTACTACTATCTTCCCTCAAACTAAACTGGGAAAGATTGTTACATTTGTTCTTGCTGACCTCGTCCCTCAAAATGAACTGGGAATTGTTTCTTTTGTACAATCATCTGCCACTTTTACTATCATCTTTCCACAAATTGAGCAGGAGTATTTCATCACATGTAACTGATTGTCAACAACATTAACTGAACACTACACCAGCAGCAACTGATCTAAAACTGAAACTTATGCAACTAACCTCAAGTAAACTGTCACTACACCAGCAACAACTTATCCCAAGTGAAAACTTACATCAACTGAACACTATAGCATTTGCAAACATGACAGCAAACGGATTACCTTTAGCACCACCATCTCAGTGAAGTTTACATTAGCACCAATGATCTCAAGTGAAGTTTACTGCATTTCCAAACATGACAGCAACCATTAGCCCCAACTAATCTCAACTGAATGACAGCTAATTGTAGCAGCTGATCTCAAGTAAACTGACATCAAATCACCACTATACGAGCAGCAACAAATCTCAATAGTAATTGATTATCAATCAACCTGATCAACCTACCATCAAGCAATTAACAGCCCTTTTAACACACAACACCAACAACAACTAATCTCACGCAATAACTGATTATCATCACCCTGATCGAACTGTATCAGGCAGTAAGCAGCCCCTTTTAACACCAACACCATCAACATCATCAGCTTTTTAACACACAACACCAACAACTAAACTCAAGCAGTCGATTATTTCAACCTGATCATAATTAAGCAACCTTTTAGCACACAGACCTTGAACATTGTAGTATACACCCAGTTAGAGGTGGAAATTTGGGCCGGGTTAGGCGGTCAACCCTAACCCAGCCCGAGAAAATGCGGGTTAAACCCGGCAGCAACCCTCGGGCGGCCGAGCTGCACAATGGCAACCCCAATCCGACGGTTGCTGTTTTGTCTCTTTTGCAAGAGACTTGGCAACCCCCGGGTTGGCTTTGTGCCCCCCGGCAGGTTTACGTTACACCCGCCCAACCCGGCGTTGGCCGAAAAAATAAAAAAAAAAATTTTTTTTATTTTTCAAATTACTCCTTTACCCTTGAAATTAGCCGTTGGAGGGTCTTTTTCGTCATTTTTTCTTCCCATTTTTTCCTATAAATTGGCCTTAAACTCTCACACTTTTCTCACAACTCAAATTCTCTCATTCTCTCGTATTCTCTAATCTCTAATCTCTCAATTATTCATTTATTAGTTTTTGCATTTGCTCATATTTTAATTTTATTAGTTTTTAAAATTTTTAATTCATATTTCCAATTTTCCAAATTCTAATTTCCGTCCTCCACCTCTTTCTTTAATTTTTATTTCTTCTACATCAATTTTTTTTTTCAACTACAATGGATAGATATTTCTCTCCCATCAATTACAATGATGACGGAAACTACTATCCTAGTCCTATCCTGCTGATTTACTAACATAAATGCAGGAGGAGATTCAAATAGTCCCGCTTTCCCATTCTCAGAATCCGATACACCTCAAACTATGCCCCCGATTCCAACAGTTCCCGGTGGTTCTAGAAGTCGTCCTTGTAATCTCGTGCTCATCAACTTCATTTCAAGCTGAGGCGGGATCATCAACTACCGTCGGAAGCGAAACAGACACACATCAACGTTTGGCGCATTTTGACAAGTTTTACGAGACAAAAAATGGCGTTCAAGTCAAGAAAGCAGATGCAAATACTGTGGAAATATTTATAAGCTGATTCAGTAATGGTACTAGTACTTTAAAAAGGCATGCTAATAAACATATTAATCAACATGGAAATAGAGAAAGCAGTCAAACTCAAATAACTAATATGGTTATTGACGTTATAGTTCTGATGCATATAGGGAACAGTTAGCTTTATATATTGCTGCAACTGATCAACCTATTAATAGGCTGAAGATAAATATTTTGAAAGATTTGTTCAAAATTCATTTTTTCAGGATTTAAAAGTTATTCTAAAACTTCAACTAGAAATGACTTTATAAAATTGTTTAAAAAAATGAAATTAGAATTAAAAAATAAAATACATACTTGTCATATTAGTGTGGCTCAAACTGCCGAATTTGGAGTGGTAGAGCTAAACAAGATTATATTTGTATGACTAGTCATATTTTATAATGAATGTAAATTAAATAATCTTTATTAGGATTTAATTAATGGATGTTGATCATAGTGGTGAACAAATTTATAATAAAATTGTTGAAGTTTTAGAAGATTATGATGTTGTTAGTAAAGTGATAATTTTAACTTTAGATAATGCAAGTTCTAATAGTAAAGCTATAGATTATTTTCAAAATAATTATCCTTTATATAATAATTTGAAGTTTTTTCACCAACGTTGTGCATGCCATATTATTAATTTAATTGTGAAAAGTGGTATGAACAATTAAAGAAAATATTAATAGAATTAGATTGTTTAGCTTGGATTACTAGTAGTAATAAAGAAATGTTGAATTTCAAGACGCTTGTAAAAATCAAATATGTCTCCTAGAACTTTTGCATTAGACATGCCTGTTGATGAATAGTACTTATTTGCTTGATTCATGTTTACCTTATGCTAATATAATTAGTTATTTTGTAGCAAATAATAGAGTCCTCATTATTTGGTAGAAAATGATTGGCAAATAGCTAAATATTTCATTCTTTTTTTAAACTTTTTACCAATCTACTTTACAACTTTCTGGTGTGTATTATCCTATTAGTCCATTGGTAATACATACAATATAAAAATTTCCGAGTTATTTATAAAAACAAAGACAATGTAATTTAAATGCACCGATAAGCAATGGAATTTTTTTTTTTAATATTGGGAGGTGCTAGATTTGATCTAGAATTAAATTAGCAGGTTTATGGTTTTGACAATTTGTGAAAATTTACAAACCGAAGTATGTGCCAATCAAATAGGAGAGGTAAAAAATACATTTTTCGAAGTTTATTTCCAGTATGAAAACAGGTATGGGAACTCGCAAAGAGGCGAAACATCCAGGGAAGCTGCATCAGAAGAACAAATGAAGCTTCTACTCTTGGGGTGCACTGAATAGCCGAAAGGACCCGAATCCAAGTACAACCTCCTCTTCGAGGCTCCACCAACAACAACAACAACAACTAATGTACTGTCTTCCATGCAGTCGCAGAGTAATGAGCTTCAATTATTTGGCAACCCCTGAAATGTTACCATAGATCCACAACAGAGGCCAACATTGATCTCTTAACTATTGGAGAGCCAGAAAATGTATTTTTTCGGTATTATCAAGACTTGCCTTGGATTTTTTCGCTGTTCCTGTCTCAACCGTCTCATCCGAACAAACATTTAGTGCAAGTGGAAGATTTTAAATGAAAGGAGGACTAAACTACTCACCACAAATGATTGAAGTCCTCACATGTCTTCGAGATTGGAACGGTCGCGCCATCAAGGTCAATACGAGTTGTCGACGATACTTTAATAGAATCATTTCAATTTTAATATAGATGAACGGATGCGAGGTCCTAGTGAACCCCAAAATTAGTTGTTTTGTAAATTGTAACTTGTAAATTAATTGTCAATTATTGCACTCTTTTTTCCTTACAAAGTTTTTGTCCTATTGGTTTTTTCTTGGTGGTTTTTTTAACGAGCAATAATTATTGTAATTTCTTATTTTATTTTTAATAAATGAATAAATTTATTATTCTTATATTACAATTTTAATGTATTAAAATGATTAATATTTGGAATGTTAACAAAAAAAAAATTTTAATTTAATTATTGATATTTGAAAAGAAATTAACAATTAAC